ACAGCTTGGCTTTGTAGTAAAAGAGTGCGGGTACTAGACTGGCCTGCCTGCCTGCAGTCCAGACCTGTCTCCCATTGAAAATGTGTGGCACATTATGAGGCACAAAATACGACAACGCAGACCCCAGACTGTTGAGCAACTCATACATCAAGTGAGAATGGGAAAGAATTCCACCTACAAAACTTCAACGGTTAGAATCCTCAGTTCCCAAATGCTTATTAAGTGTTTTTAAAAGGAAAGATGATGTAAGACAGTGGTAAAAATACCCCTGTCCCCAGCTCTTTGGGAAAGTGTTGCAGGCATCAAATTCAAAATGAGTGAACATTTGCAAAAAACAATGAAGTTTATCAGTTTGAACATTAAATATCTTGTCTTTGTGGTGTATTCAATTAAGTATGGGTCAAAAAGGATTTGCAAGTCATTGTATTCTGTTTTTAATTTACATTGTACACAATGTTCCAACTTTATTGGAACTGAGGTCTGTAGTTCAGGGAGGTGGAACGCACTGGTTGTAGCACATGGCTTCTTTTCCTGGAAGCTTAATAAACCTAGTATTGTTAAAATCAGAAATCACAAAAGATAGTTTTTATTGTTCATCTCAAGACAGCAGATAATTGGTCGTTGATGTAGTTCACACTGTACACAAATTCTAATTTCTTTTCATAATAGTGAGTTGGTTTTCTGTTTCAGTTGATAAAGGTAAACTGACCTGTGTCGCTTTGAGTTTTTACTTTGGGCTCTGCATTTTCAACATCTATCCAACCTGTTTGCCTTTAAATATACCTAATATCAAATACCCTACCCTTGAACTTAAAAGTGATACAATTACTGTAAAGTGGTCCAATTTTGACCAGTTTAACATTTCAGGGATATTGCATTTGAAAATGCTTGGTTTAGTTGTATTAGACTATATATGTTGTAAGGAAATGTTTCATATAGAGTACATTTTACTTTTCTTGATGGAAATATGACACTCCACCCACAAAAGACGTTTCAGTTTCCTTCTCTCATGACTACATACAGTAATAAAATGGAGCCTACAGTGTGTACTTGTCTTCCTCTGTTTAGCTGGGAGCAGAGGGTGTTGCCTCACGGCAGAGTGTACTATGTTGACCACAACACCAAAACCACAACCTGGGAGAGACCACTGCCACCAGGGTAGGCCTGTTGCATTTCTTTTTCATCGATGCATAAAGTGTTTGACAGTTATTAGGGTTAGACAAGAGCCGATTTCACATGACCTCCAGACTGTGTCCGCAGAATCAGGCCTGGACTTTGTCAAGAGTTGCCCTTTCACACATGTAGCACACAACAGGAGACAGTCTGTGTCAGGTGTGTTCTCACCTACTGGAAAGACTCTGTTTGGTTTATGCATGGGGGGTGTGCCTGGGTAGAGCACGCAGGAGGTGGGACATGACACGTTCATGTAGCCACTTTGTGTTTTGGTCATAAACAACTGAGTCTCTTGCCCTGACAATTCTGGTGCTGGCTTTTAACAACAGAAGTTCCTGAATCTTGTCATGTCTCCAGTCAGATACTTTCATTGTAATTGACCGTTTTGTTCACCATCGGATGTTTGAATTCTTCCAGTTTCAAGCCAGTCACGTTATAGAACGTCAACATGTCCACTAGCTTTGTGTGAATACTGCAGACTATACGCTGCTGTGTAAGTTCAGATACAGTATGTTGGGTCAACATTGGTATGTTCTAGTGCCAGGCAACAATTAAAATCCTTAATCGAGTTAACTACATGATTTTTCTGAGATTAAAAGCGACTAACTGCATTGATATGAGCAGCATTCAATAATGAATTCCAAAGTAGTGTATTGCGCACTTTTATTTTACCACTATATGATATGCAATAACATTTGGTTTAAACAAATAAGGTGCTTTTTAACAAAAGCATTCCCTTTACACAGTAGCAGCAAATCTCAAACAATGTAATCAAATCAAATATAAAACCAAAGCTATTTGCCACTGCCAGGGCATTAATGTTTTATTTAGTTTGTTATAGAAAAACAAGTTATCCTCAGAGTCCAGAGCCACAATCATAACATTATAACAGGCAGCAACATTTATAAACCTGTTTTCTTTGTTTTTTTCTGAACAGATACCAGCAGAAACATTTTTTTTTTATCAGGAAGCAGCATAAACAGTCAATGTTCAGTAGCAAGTGTCCCTGTTAAAGTGAGGTGAAGTGGAAGAGCACGAAAAAAAGTACACAGCTGGGATTTACTGTGTAGGGGACTTATTCCTACTCCTCTACACCAAGCCAGTTGCTCAGGGTTGCTCTGCAACAACCCTGTGTTCCTTGAGTAAGTTGGTGACTGAGGCCCACACCTCACCCCTCTGAGCTCTGGGTATACACTTGAGGTCCTTGAATCTTGGGTCCAATGTGGTAGCAATCTTCAGATATGCAATGTTGGCACGTTCCTTGCGTGTCTCCAGGTCTGTTCTGAATGTAGACTTGAATTTGACCACGTAGGCAGGATCCTCGTCCGAGGTCTCCATCACCCGAGAGAGATGGCAAAAA